TAGCTGTCCCTGATTGCTTGTGGATGAAGTGTTGGTATTTATTTACTGTTATTATTTTAGACTTTTTAAAATACTGGTAGCCAGATTGTGTTCATTTTCATGGTTTTTTCCTTTCTGTTGAAATTGTCCACATGCTTGTGGAGTTAAATGGCTTCTCTATGTTGTCTGACATGATAGTTGTTAGGGTGGTCCAGCATTTCTGTGTTCTCAAATAATATGCTGTGTCCAGGTTGGTTCAGCCACAAGCAATCAGGGAAGGAATCCCACTGGAGCATTGCAGCGCACCCAAATACCTGGGAGTCACCCTGGACCGTTCTTTGACCTACAAGAAGCACTGCCTGAATATCAAGCAAAAAGTGGGTGCTAGAAACAATATCATACGAAAGCTGACTGGCACAACCTGGGGATCACAACCAGACACAGTGAAGTCATCTGCCCTTGCGCTATGCTACTCTTCTGCTGAGTATGCATGCCCAGTGGGGAACACATCTCGCCACGCTAAAACAGTGGATGTGGCTCTTAATGAGACATGCCGCATTATCATGGGGTGTCTGCGCCCTACACCACTGGAGAAACTACACTGTCTAACTGGTATTGCACCACCTGACATCCGCTGGGAAGTAGCAGCCAATAGTGAAAGGACCAAGGCAGAGACACCTCCAGCTCATCCCGTTTGAATATCAGCCAGCACGTCAACGACTTAAATCAAGAAATAGTTTTCTAAGATCTACAGAGACACTCGCTGGAACACCTCAGCAAGCGAGAGTCCAAAAGTGGCAGGCTCAAACCCAGAACCTCAATCAATGGCTGATACCAAATGGGAGACTCCCTCCTGGGCACACAGAAGACTGGGCGACTTGGAAGGCGCTGAACAGACTGCGCTCTGGCACCATGAGATGCAGAGCCAACCTTAAGAAATGGGGCCACAAAGTGGAATCCTCGACGTGCGAGTGTGGAGAAGAGCAAACCACTGACCACCTGCCGCAATGCACCCTGAGCCCTGCCACATGCACAATGGAGGACCTCCTTGCGGCAACACCAGAGGCACTCCAAGTGGCCAGATACTGGTCAAAGGACATTTAATCAACTACCAAGCTTGCAAATTCTTTGTTTTGTCTGTCTGTTCGTTTGGTTATGTTAAAAATGTAATACAAATGTCTGGTTGCTGATGACATGATAAATAAATAGGGAAAGCTAATCACCTCTCCACAAAGGATTCCACCAGGCAGTAAGAAATTACATCTTGAAACTGCCAGGCCACTAAATGCTAATCAAGGTGGCCAGTGGAAACATTCACATTTACCTCCTACAGACAAAAGAGGTTTTTCCTCCACCCTGGACATATATATAAACCCCATTTTCCTATGTTCCAACAGTCCTCACAACCTCTGAGGATGCTTGCCATAGATATGAGTGAAACGTCAGGAGAGAATGCTTCTAGAACATGGCCAGACAGTGCGGAAAACTCACAACAACCCAAAGCACACTTCTGGGAGGAAAAGTTGCTGAAAAACAGGACTGGTTAATTACAATCAAACACAAGCATCTCTAGAGAGGTGTGTTTATTTCAATGGACTCTTTGCCATGACTTTGGGGTGTAGATGGGCCCTGTAAAGCCTGGCACACAGGTACGGGCGGCCTCTCCTTCTCCGCACCGCAGCCTACCAGCTGTTTAGTGAGGCTGACAGCTTAAAAGCTCTGCGCCATCCACGCCCGGCATTTGCGCAAGTTGTTAAAGACAATGCTCTTGCATTGCCTTAAAACGCACCTAAAAATACATTATATTCCCTCTCAACCCCTCCCTAGACTTTATAGACACAATAAACCTCCTGACATTCTGCACGCTGTTAAGACGTACGCACAAAGGTAGCGTTATCTTTTCCTTCTGCTTTTATCGACATATAATTCTGGTAAAAGATAAGGGATGAGGGTTGGCTTGTGGGGTTTTCTAAATAGCTTTTTACTTTTTCTTACGACCCTTTGGTTAGGTCAGCGTGCTGGCTCAGCAACAGCAAAAATGTGTTGCCTTGGTTTACTGACCACCTCCAGGCTGACAAACTGACTTTTGGAGAGGAGGGATAGTAAAACTGTTTTCTTGGGAAGTACCAATGGAAGCCTCCTCTTTTACAGACTGAGGAAGAAGTTCCAGACTTGGCAGAACAAACACTCAAGGCCTTCTGAACTGAGGTTCTCCAAGAAACAACCCCCTTCCATGGCTTTGGCTCTTTAGAGATTCAAGGGCTGGTTTAATTTTACCTTTTGGGTTCTGACTGTGGTAGGAGTGAAGAGGCGAAAAGAACCACTCCCTACCCCTATTTGGTCCTCCAAATTTCTTTACCCTCTAATGAAAGTACAGTAGAGTCTCGCTTATCCGACATAAACGGATCGACAGAACGTCGGATAAACAAAAATGTTGGATAATATGGAGGGATATGAAATGCATGCACTTTTTTTAGGGGCTTCAAAAAAAGGACCTGCTTCCCAACTCCACTTCGTCTTCCCTTTTCTCCCCTTTTCCCTTCTTTCCTGAGCTGACTGACTCACTGCTGTTGGGGGCTTCACGCCATCCCCTTATAGCCCTGAATTCCCCACCCAGGAGGTGCTAGGGCATCTCCCAATTAGTTCAGCGTTTTTAGCAGCTATTCTGGTTAAACACACTCCCTCCTTTCCTCCTATGCCTCCCTTCATCGCCTCTCCAGCCTAAGTTTTCCTTGCAACGCAGATGGGGAGCCCCACCAAGGTGGGAAGCTGATCCCTTGTTCTCCTTCCTTGGGCTGCAGCAATGGTGGCAGAGATAAACACCAAAGTGGGCCCTATCCCCACCCCACTCCCAGGCAGGAGCACCTTCCCTTGGATCCTTGGGAAACCCTCGGTTGAGATCTTGGTGACCTGATTCCCTTCTGGATCCCTTCTATTTCTTTCTTCCATCCGGGAGCTGTGTGCCGTCCTTTTACTGAAGGCACATCAAGGAAAGGTGTGTGGAGCTCTCTCTCTCTTTGGAGAGGGGTTTGCAATCTTTTGGGAGGGGGTTAACAACTGGGGAAGGGGGCAAGAAGAAAAGGACGGCCTTCCTGCCCAAGAGCAACTGCTTCATTCCCTTTCCCCTGCGCTACGTCATTGTCCTGGTGGACAAGGCTAAGGGTTACGCGCCCTGAGGGGAAGGGGACAGGAGAGTATGTATTGATAGATTTTCAAGGGGTTAATGTTAGGGATTCCACCATCTTCGGAGGAGGAAGGGGAGCAGGGAAGTGCTCAGGAATTGGAAAAAGAAGAAGAATCAGACAATGCTCACACTTCTAGAGAGATGAAACAAGACAGAGCACAGACGGCATTCAGCCAGAATAGCTCTGCTAAAAACGCTGAGCTAATTGGGAGATGCCCTAGCACCTCCTGCATGGGGAATTCAGGGCTATAAATTAGAAGCAGGAGCAGTCAGCTTTCGCTGGTGACAACGACCCTGATTCTGCTCTTTTCACTCCAATGGAATCTATTTTGTGTCTGCTATGAAGGACTTAGTTTATTGCCTGTTGTCTGATGGAAAACTGGTGTTTCTTTTGGGACCTTGTAAGAGACTTTAATTTGTGTCTGGATTAAGACTTCCTTGCTCCCCCCCCCCATCCTCCGAAGATGAGGAATCCCTAACAGTTAACCTGGAATGATGTGAGTTGTAGTTCACCCACAACGTTATGCATTTTATACAATTACAAATCTGACTTTTTCAAATACAGGAAGACCTTCCATATCCTTCTGTCGAATAAGACAGACTGTTGGATAAGCAAAAGGTCAGTTAAACAAGCCTCTACTGTAGTATTATTGATAATGGAATAATTTGGAAGAAGACGCATTGGGTGAGAACTCCATTCTTCTTCCCCAGACCTGAGTCCTTGGATCAACTGTCAGAAAAGGGTCTTGTTGGCTAATTGGTGGCCCGGCCTCATTCCAGACTTTGGCAGCATTCTTGCCAGATCCAATCTTCCCAAGGGGAGAAATGGGGTTTCAAGCACCAAAGTCAGCCTTGCAGTGAAGAGAAAAGTTGGCCAACTCTTTCCAGAGTTATACTCAATGCCTCCCTAAAGCTAAAAATGAGTATCAGGACCAATACCTTGCTCACCATATCTCCCCTCCAGCTTTCTGAGAGTAATTTGAGTTTTGTGCAGCTTCAAAGAAACACATTCGAGGACTGGAGGAGGGGGGAAACTCAGAGATGCTACTTCAATTGTACATTTGTTCCAGTTCTATGGGGTTCACCCACAATTCAAGTCAAGCCATCCAAAATGAGTAAATGTTGTGTTGAGATGAAAATTGATGCAGCAATTCCAGTGGCGCAACATCCTCCTCATCCTACCCCCACAGGGTTTACCTCTTTGGTTTTCCCCATTCCTCCTTTCCTGCTGGACAGACAACGATTGAACATTCAGAAATGAGAGGGGAAGAGTGAGAGAAGGGTGAAGACCACCATAAGACATGAATGCATTCAAAAATGATAATTGGAGGGAAAAGGACCCATGATATTTGATATTGTCAAGAAACCGACTTCGTTACATGTTCTGGGCAAACTATCTCACCCTACCCAATTAGAAGAGCTTACTCAATGTTACATTTGTGCACACTCCCTCAATGCTCCAGCTCATTGGAAAAGGGGAGGGTGGGATTCACAGGGCACATGAGACACATGCATAGCGTTTGGGGGGGAGAACATGATGCCAAAGTGCCATTTGCAGTGGTGACCTCAACTGCAAGGAGCAGTTTTATTCTTTGAGACTACAGCTGCCCTGATCTACCCAAAGTCTGGTTATCTTGGACTGCCCACAGCAACAGATCCCAGCTGAAGGGGTGCAAGCAATACTACCACGAGAAGGGGAGGCCTTTGCAAAAAAAACCAAACAAAACTGTAGTGCTTGGTATCAATCAGAGCAGACACGTGCAAATGCAATATAATTCTGGCTAGGACTAACCAACAAGCAAATCCTCGGTGATCGTGAGCATGGCATATGCAACCGTGCAATTGGTAACCATTCTTTTATTATGTGGGATACAATGGGAACTGCTGTCCCCTTTCGGAAACCTCCCTGCTCTCTTTCAAGCACAGATGTTGACACTTTGCAAAGGGAACTTAAGAGGTGTTGAGAGCAAGTAAAACCTGAGTTATAGCAACTTCAAGCACATGTTGATTCTGCAAGCCCAGCGCAGTCTGCAGCGTAAGTGTTGTCTCTTGCTGCTCTCAAGGCTGCTATTTTTATTGCTGCCAGCTAATAAAAACTAGCTATTTTTGCTGATCTGCAAAGTTCCTGGGGCTTCCCAGGGGCAAAGAAATGGTAGTGTGTCTAGGTTCCCAATGCCACACAAGGCTGGATCTCCAAAGGGCCCAGTGGGAAGGACGCTTTGTAACTTTGGAGCAATGAGTGTCCTCCTCTTATCACATCTGCATTGGCCAGTCTCTCTTGCAGGAAAATGACACCCTGACATTGCAACGAATGGATCTACTGAATGAGGCTACGGAACAGGTATTTAAAAAACAAACAAGTCAGCCAACATAAAGCTCAGCCACTTCCAGCAGCACATTGCCTACTATTCTGCTGAAATCTTCCATCTCCCAGGGATTGGGCTTCCTAGAGTGAAGGAGTAAAAGAATGGAAATGGGGAGAGTGGGATCCCAAAACAGGGAGTGTCAATGCAAAGCAGCCCTGAATGGATGCAGACACACAGTGTCAACTGAGAATAAGCCAGCCCTCCCCGACTTCAGGCAATGCTCCCTTGCCCTCAAACACATTCCCTCCCTGGATGTCGGATGTTGCACAACAATGGGCCAGAGTAAAAGAGGAATGACATAAGGGCTGAGCTGTGCCAGCGCTCTCGCTTTCCAGATATACTGAACACCTTGGGATACCTGTGCCTACATACCGCCACAACGAAAACACATTAACCCACTTAGAAATTATTTTTCGGCGAAGCCTCACATATAGTTTCCCAACCTACTCAGTCTCATCTTGGAAGGTAATGCAGTCAGATGCAATGATGGTAAAGCTGCAATCGTAACCCGGGCCCAACGCATGTTTTGCGGCTGGAAGAGCTCTCCAAATAAGGTAGAAATAAATACAGTGTTTATAACGGCAGGTTCCTGGAGTAAATTGAGTCAGCTTCTCCTTCAATCTTGGGGTTTCAACCGCCAAGGGCAGAGCATTATCTCCTATGTGCTGCATCTTTTCTTGTTCAACTTGGGGAGGGAGGGAGGAGAGAGAGACCTCAAGTACCACAAAGCATTTTCCACTAAGAGCCGAGGACTTTTAGTCTTTGCAGGGTAATGCCATCTTTCAGGGGTGGAGAGGGATGCTGACGGGCTTGCAAAAGAACGGTCTTTAACAAGATGTGGGAAAATAACTGTAAAAAAAAACCTGGAGTCGTACGAGACAATGGGACCGACAAGTCTGCGACGAAGCGGATGTCTAAAAAGCCAACTAAAATGGTTCCAATGCCAACAAGAAGGCCGAGGTGGTCCCGGGTGCTTCGAGGTCTCCTTTGCGCCATGTATCTTGCAAGGGTTTTGTTTCTGTTGTTTTGTCCTCCTCCTCTTCCTCCTCCTCCTCCTCCTCCCAGGTAACCCCTTGTGTTTAAAACCCTAAAGAGGCAGTTCTGATGTCCATGCATCAAATACAGGTTCCAGGCTGGGCTGGAGGTTGCTGTTTGCGATTTCGTACCACTCCCGATTTCTCTTTGTAGGCAATAGGCATTTGTTGTGAAATGTCCACCAAAGCACTGGCTACGGCAAGACCTGGAGGAACAGAAAGAGGGAGTTCAGAGAAGGAAAGGAGAGCAAGAAATCCCACTGGGGAATCCCATTCCCCATCCCCAACGTCTAGTAAAATGGTGAGAAAGAATCATGTATGTCCCACTTCACATACCTTCGCCTCTCTGGATGCACCTATTTCAGATGCACTTGGTGTCTAAGCAACTGAAGACGGACCAAACATCCGCAGTGATTAAGGAGCGGATAACAACAGCCATGGTATTTTTTCCCCATATGAAGAACTCAAGCTCTGAATCTTTCACATGGGATGAGCATGGGAATGCAATCGTGACAAACACCATCCTTTTACTTTGCTCAAAGACCAAACTCATTGTTGAGGAAGGACCAAACTGTCTCCTTTAACCTGCCCTGGAGTCTGTTCCTTGATCAAAATATAACACTAAGAGTGCATCTAGAATTAACCAATTTGAACAAATAATACAGAAGGGAAGGGTTGTAGAAGAGCATGAAAATTTGAGAGGAATAACTAGTAAAATATACAAGATATTAATTGAAATAAAGGAAGGAAATACAAAAAATAACATCCTTAAAGAGGTTTGGAAGAAGATTTAGGGATAAAAATAAATGAAACAGAGTGGCAACAATTATGGGGACAAAGACATTTAAAAAATTTATCAATACGGGTTAAAGAAAATTATTATAAGCTAATATGGAAGTGGTATCTGACACCAGTAAGAATAGCATATATAAATAAAAATAATTCAAAAAATTGCTGGAGAGGGGGTCAAGAACCAGGAACATATATATATATATATGTGGTGGCAATGTAAATATGTAAATAATTTTTGGGAGAAAGTATTTAGAGAAATAGAAGATATAATGAATATGAAAATCGAGAAAAGTCCTAGTATAGCCTTATTATCACTATATAATAACAAACAATTGAAAAAGGAGGATAAAGAAGCGATAAAAAACTTATTAACAATAGCAAGACTGCTCATAGCAAGGAACTGGAAAAAAGAAGTAAATATACAAATAGAGGAGTGGTACAAGGAAGCATGGAAATTAGCAATAAATGATAAGCTGACATGTATATTAAAAGTTAAAAAAGGTATATGGAAACAAAGCGATTTTGATGTTGTAAATGGTTTAAAAAACAAAGAAGGAAAGTTTCCGTCACAAGAAGAAATGAGATTTTGGACAGATAATATGTAAAAGTTGAGGCTTGAGACAGGGGGGGGGGGGAGGGGGGACCACAGTGGTGGGAAAAAAGGGGGGGGGAATGCTTAAGCAGAATAATAAGACTATATTTTAAAGAGTGTGTTGAATAATATGTAACTGCTATAACAAATGTATAACAAATGTAATCACTATGATAAAACAAAAAAAAATACTTAGAATTAATGCAGCTCAATGCTATGGAGTCACATAGGATTCATAGTTTCAATATTTTTTCGTGTCAGGAGCGACTTGAAAAACTGCAAGTTGCTTCTGGTCTGAGAGAACTGGCCATCTGCAAAGATGTTGCCCAGGGGACCCCTGAATATTTGATGTTTTACCATCCTTGTATGAGGCTTCTCTCATGTCCCCGCATGGGGAGCTGGAGCTGGCAAAGGGAGCTCTCCCAGGATTCCAACTGCTGACCTGTTGATCAGCAGTCCTACCAACAAAAGGGTTTAACCCACTGTGCCACTGTTTCATAATGTATTTATCTTTCTCCTGTCAAATAGGGCTGGTGCCTCAATAAATAACAACTCCCAGGATTCCACAGTACTGAGTCATAGCAGTCAAACTGCATTAATTCTGGAGTGTAGATGCACCCTAAAATGAAATTGATAATGTGGCTTTTACAGGTCTTGGGGAAGTATTCTTTGCATTGCTTGACCTGGAAGACTGACGGCCCTGCTTTGTCCAAAGAAGTTATTTATATTTATTATTATTTGTTCATTTATACCAGGGGTCCTCAAACTAAGGCCCGGGGGCCAGATACGGCCCTCCAAGGTCATTTACCTGGCCCGCGTTCAGGCTCAACCTAAGTCTGAAACAACTTGAAAGCACACAACATTCCCATCTCATCTGCCAAAAGCAGGCCCACACTTTCCACTGAAATACTAATAAGTTTATATTTGTTAAAATTGTTCTTCATTTAATTATTCTATTGTTTATAAGTGTTTTTTGCACTACGAATTAGATATGTGCAGTGTGCATAAGAATTCATTAATGGGTTTTTTTTCCAAGAGTGAATGTGATCCGGAGGACTGCGAAAGGCGAAGTGGCTGCTTACCTGATTGCCCAGGTGGGGGAATCCCTCCCAGGCCTCTTGGCAACCTCACAAATACTGACAGAACAGCTGCTTTGTTGCCAAAACATGGCTCCAACGCAATGGGCTTGGGCACCGTCTGCAGCAGAGAGAAAGAGAAACAAGGTAAAGTGAAAAGAGTTAAACACACAACTACCATTTCAACTCAAGAGAATCCCAAGCCTCTGTCTTTGAAAGGGTACCTGGGTTTCAGGTAATTTCTGCATTTCAGCTCTGATCCCAAATTCTTTGGCCTTTCCGGCTTCTTCACGGCCATTTCGGAGGCAGAACTAATTCGTGTCGAGAGGGACCGCCCCACGGTCGAAGAGGTAAGAACACAAAGCACGAGGCCTCCTCAACTATATTTCATTTTGATAGATCAGCAGCTCGTTTTAATGGGCCATGTAATTAAATCGAAAAGGTAGTCCAGCCCTGCACCTCAACACCCATTAAAAGTAGCAGCGTGCTTCTTGCGGAAAGTGGCCGAGAACAACCCTTGTGACCTCTCTGCAAGCAAACCCAAGTATCCTGAGTGTCTGGTAGTTTTCTGCTTATAATTCAGTTTTAGCTTCAAGCCCGTTCTTTTTATGTTCTCCTAAATGAAACAAGGACTGCTTACCTCATTAGACAGGAGACTGCAATAGAGTACTACAGGTCAGACCAATGAGTAAACTAGTTAGAAGTAAAAGCATTAAGAGGAAAGAGGGGAAGAAAAGTCCTTGTTGTGTGCCTTCAAGTCATTTCTGACTTATGGCACCCCAAAGGTGAACTTATCGTGGGTTTTCCTTGGCAAGGTTTGTTCAGAGGGAGTTTGCTTTCCTTCAAAACAGAGACAGTGACCTGCCCAAGGTTGCTTCGTGACTTTTCACGGCTGAGCAGGGATTCGAATCTGGTCTCTCCGAGTCAAAGTCCAACACTCAAACCACCATCCCACACTGACTCCCAAAGAAAGGTCAAAATAAAAGTTTCCCCTTGGCATTAAGTCTAGTCGTCAAACAGGGATGTGTTATTTCCCCCAACTTTATTCTCCATCTTCATCGGTGTGATAGTTCACCTTGTTGACGGGAAGCTTCCCACCGGAGTGGAAATCATCTATCGGACAGATGGCAAGCTATTCAACCTCAGCAGACTGAAAGTCAAAACCAAGGTTACAACATCTGTTACAGAACTCCAGTATGCTGATGACAACGTCGTCTGGGAGCATTCAGAAGAACTTTTTTTCTTAGGCGATCCCTCGTTTTCCAAGGATGATTGTCTTCCAGTATTCTTGTGGGTCCGTATGTGGCTGTGGAGCCCTATTCTTGCTCTGCATCTTCCTCTTCCGCAGTGAGGGCATTGGTTTCTAGGTGGGAGGCGGTCTCAGTCGGGGTTGGCTTGACGTGCCTTCCTCTTGGCACACTTCTCCCTTTCGCCCTCCATTCGTGCCTCTTCAAATTCTGCAGCACTGCTGGTCACAGCTGACCTCCAGCTGGAGTGCTCAAGGGCCAGGGCTTCCCAGTTCTCAGTGTCTATGCCAGAGTTTTTAAGGTTGGCTTTGAGCCCATCTTTAAATCTCTTTTCCTATCCACCAACATTCCATTTTCCGTTCTTGAGTTCGGACTAGAGCAACTGCTTTGGGAGACGGTGGTCGGGCATCCGGACAATGTGGCCGGTCCAGCGGAGTTGGTGGCGGAGGACCATCGCTTCAATGCTGGTGGTCTTTGCTTCTTCGAGGACGCTGACGTTTGTCCGCCTGTCTTCCCAAGAGATTTGCAGGATTTTCCGGAGACAGCGCTGATGGAATCGTTCCAGGAGTTGCATGTGACGTCTGTAGACAGTCCACGTCTCACAGGCATATAGCAGGGTTGGGAGGATAATAGCTCTATAAACAAGCACCTTGGTATCCCTACGGATGTCCCAGTCCTCAAACACTCTCAGAAGAAGACCCACAAGCCACTCTAAACACCCTCACAGAAGCATACGAGAAGCTCGGCCTGTCACTGAATATCAAGAAAACCAAAGTGCTCTTCCAGCAGTCACCAGCCAATCCCTCTCCGATGCCAGAAATACAGCTTAATGGTGTAACATTAGAAAATGCTGACCATTTCTGCTCCCTTGGCAGCCACCTCTCCACCAAAATCAACATTGACATGGAAACACAACACTGCTTGAGCTCTGCGAGTGCAGCATTTTCCGAATGAAGCAGAGAGTGTTTGAAGACCAGGACATCCGTAGGGATACTAAGGTGCTTGTTTATAAAGCTATTGTCCTCCCAATCCTGCTATATGCCAAAAAGAAAACGGAATGTTGGTGGGCAGGAAAAGAGATTTAAAGATGGGCTCAAAGCCAACCTTAAAAATCTGGCATAAACACTGAGAATTGGGAAGCCCTGGCCCTTGAGCGCTCCAGCTGGAGGTCAGCTGTGACCAGCAGTGCTGCAGAATTTGAAGAGGCACGAATGGAGGGCGAAAGAGAGAAACGTGCCAAGAGGAAGGCGCGTCAAGCCAACCCCAACCGGGACCGCCTTTCACCTGGAAACCAATACCCTCACTGCAGGAGACGATGCAGATCAAGAATAGGGCAGATCACGAATAGGACCCACCCTGGAGGATTATCCTACTCAGACAACAAGGGGTTGCCTAAGTAAGTAAGTCTACTTGTGTCCGACTCTGGGGGCTGGTGCTTATCTCCACTTCTAAACTGAAGAGCCGGCATTGTCCATAGACACCTCCAAGGTCATGTGGATGGCATGACTGCATGGAGCGCCGTTACCTTCCCGCCAAAGCGGTACCTATTAATCTACTCACATTGGCATGTTTTTGAACTGCTAGGTTGGCAGAAGCTGTGGCTAACAGTGGGAGATCACCCAACCCTGCAATATTCAAACCACGACCTTTCGATCAGCAAGTTCAGAAGCTCAGTGGTTTAATCCGCTACGCCACTGCAAAGTTGCCATGAAGTTAACTACTGTCTAACAAACCAAACAGTTACAAGGAGCAAAACCAAAATTACTACCTGTTCCACATCTCTAGTGTTAAATAGTTAACAAAGACACTGATGGATTGGTCTTTGGTGAAGTTATTTTGCTGCCTACAATAAGAAGGCTGGTATTTACAACCGCCGGGGAAGTGGAGGCACCCTTCCCACAGAGTTGCTAAAGTTCAAAACAATTCTTTCCTTACAAATAAAACCAGTGGAGGACAAACTTGTACCATATATTCTGCTGGAACTCAATTACGAGAACTAATGGACTCACAGTGCCGGGCAAATGCAAGTAATACATTGCCCATCGTGGCTTCCAGCTTGCCAACAAAATGAAACCATCGGTGTGTGTGCATGTGTGTGTGTGTTCTTTTAAAAGGAGTAGACTGAACACAGGGCATGTTGTTCCTTTCTTTTTTTTAAGGAAAGGGAGTGTTTGCAGGTTAATGAGCCCATCGTCAAGTGGCATTGAGCTCTCCCAGTTGGCAATTTAACAAAGCAATCATCAACTGGCGTTGAGTTTCCTCAACATACAAATTGCATTTCCAGCTGCTTACAAAAATAACGTACAGCAATGTCACCAAAGGGCCAAAGGACAAACAAAAAGGGAGAGGAGTGGAGAGAATGCAAGGCAGTCAAGTACACCTTCTGGGCCATTTTGATTTAAGATCATATTTTTCTTATATCATTTTAGTGGTGTTTCACCCGTCAATTAAAATAAATTACAAGTCAAAGAAAACCTCTGGATGTATGCAAGTGAAACCAGTAAGTGTTACTAATGGCCAGCTTGGTCCCCCATTCTGTATTTTTGCAAGAAGGATTGGATTACTCTAGGTTGGATTACTGTAATGTGCTCAACGTGGGGCTGCCCTTGAAAACGGCTCGGAGATTCCAACTGGTCCAACGGGCAGCAGCCAGGATGTTAACTGGGGCTCCTTACAGAGAGAGGTCAACCCTCCTGTTCAAGGAGCTCCACTGGCTGCCGTTTACTTACCGAGCCCAATTCAAGGTGCAGGTGCTCACCTACAAAGCCCTGAACGGTTTGGGACCAGCCTACCTGCGTGATCGCATCTCCATCTACGAACCCACGCGTTCTCTTCGCTCATCTGGAGAGGCCCTGCTCGTGATTCCGCCTGCGTCGCAAGCGCGGTTGGTGGGGACACGAGACAGGGCCTTTTCCGTGGTGGCCCCCCGACTCTGGAATACCCTCCCCAAAGAGGTTAGACAGGCCCCTACATTGGCAGTCTTCAGAAAGAACTTGAAGACCTGGCTGTTTTGATGTGCCTTCCCCGAATAGGAAACCTCCAAGACCAAGTCCCATAACCATTTTATTAAATTAAGATTGCCGCACACTGCACACTGCACTTGCTCTAGTAGCCTTACAGCCCACCTGTCACACCAGCACTTTTTAATTCTTGTACCCATTACACTGGCCCGGCCCAGTTTTATTGCGTCTTAGTGTATTGTTTATTATTTGTTGTTTAGTTTGCTTAACTGTTTTTAATTTGCTTTAGGTTGTTGTATTGTGTGTTGAGGCCTTGGCCTTTGTAAGCCGCATCGAGTCCTTTGGGAGATGCTAGCGGGGTACAAATAAAGTTTAATAATAAATAATAATAATAAAAAAGGATGGTAAGATCATAGAATCATGGAGTTGGTAGAAACAAGAGTCATCCAGTCCAATCCCCCCAAAAAACCTATGAGGAAAGGTTGATGGAGTTGGGCATGACCAGCCTGGCCAAGACTATGGGAAAGGGGTGACATGACTGCCCTCCACATATCTAAAGAGCTGTCATGGAGAGGAGGATATTGATGTCTTCTTCGCTGTTTCGGAAGGAAGGGCCAAGTCTAACGGTTTTAAGTTACAGAAGGGGAGATTTCAATTGAACATTAAAATGAACTTTTTGATATTAAGTACACAACTGTGCAACAACGAACCAATTACCTACAGAAGAAGTGGGGGTCTCTCTCTGGAAATCTTCAAGGCAGCTACCTGCTGGGGATTCTTTAGGTGGATTTCCTGCCTGGCAGGAGGTCGGACGCAATGGCCCATGGGGCTCCTCCCAACGCTATCTCCCTTCTTCCTCCTCCTTTCTCCCTAAACATAGAGAGCTCAACTTCAATATGAACCAAGAAGCTCTT